TTATGTAACCCTGATTGTTGGGGAAAAGCCATGAAACACACAAATGTCTTGAAGGAAAAATGTCCTTTGGATTGGCCGCATTCTATCTACTCACATCAATAAGCCAAGTATCCAGTGTGGATGCCCCAGTGCAGTACAGCAGATATCACGCCCAACTAATATGTGGAGAGATGCGGGTTTGCATGTTGCTCAGGACACAAATTTTTCTTTCATTTCAGAGACATGTGTAAAAGGCCTCCTGTAAGTTATTTGTCTCCTTCTATCATTGTTTCAAGGGCTTTCCTGGCTCAACTAGTGTCTATTCTACTCGTAACTATTTTCGAATCAGCGATATTTAGGAAATGTGAATAAATCCAATAAACTTTACTTTCCTACAATGACCAGCTCTCTGCAATAGCAAGCTATTCTCCCATACTTAAGGGACCATTGAAGAGATGGTCCTCTGTATTCCAAATCTGTTATGTAAGTTCCCTTTTTAAAAAGAGTTTATTTTATGAAAAGGTAGAAGTCCTTTTAACCCTTCTCAGAGGGTTGCATACAGGCTTCCCACCAATTCCCATCTTGCACAATAAGATATTGCAAGAGCAATAATAATAAACTTGAAAGTAATCACTCGATTCTGATCAGCCACATGTAAGAGCAGTGCAGTTTAAGTGTAATACTAATGCAAAAAGTCTAACACCAGTGTGAATTACCACTAAGATATCCAGGTTAGTATAAAGACAATTGAAGACTATCAATGGTTATACAAGGTACTTTGAAGGTGGTTAAAGTTCACCCAAAGCCTTTTGAAGATAGCCAAAGATAATTAGGCATTTTCTGAGCACTTGTGAAGATAGCCCAAACCCAGCCGAAGATTAACAAATATTGCCTGTACATTTTCTAACACCCTGAATATCACCTATACCCTTCCAAAGATTCCCAGTACTCTGAAGATTGCCAAAGATTTTCTAATGTTATTGGGAGTTTTGTGAATAGTTGGGGACATTTTAGAGGACCAAGAGCACTGCAGCCTACCTAGGTAAGCAATTAATGCAAACAGTCTATAAATTTCCAAGTGTATTATTAACAAGTAAATTCACATGACCAATATTCTTGAGCAAATATTTGGAATAAATAAGTACATGAAAATTTTTCACTCTCATCTAACTTTCCCACCTCTTGGCAGGAACATTCTTCAAAAACTACAAATTGCACTTGTACTATGGGTTCATACAATTTTGTTTGCCCTTGAAAAAATTACTCCTGCCTATTGATTCCAAATTCCACTCAGAATCATGTGATTTCCTCTACAAAGCAGGTGATGTCTTGCAATCCTAGACAGTGCCAGGGTAGGGATGGGGAATGAATGATTTTGGAATTGACCAAACCAGTACATAGCATGTCACAGAAATTAACTTATCATCAGTTCAAATAGTAGATGCTAAACATCCTTAATGTCTGAGTCAGTTTATGCAATTTCATATTGGGTTAGAAGATACGGTTGAGTTACAGTATATTTACCATGATCAGCAGTTAACCAAACACAGAATGAGCACTTTCCTCAAGAACAATGCCAAATCTTAAAATTGCATCTGTTATTATACACTACGTGCCTTCACAACAACACTTGAAGAAAACATGAACATGGTATAAGCTAACAACTCGTAAAGCAACGGAAGCTATCATCTCCCAGACACGCAAGCTTCGATCTAAGCTTGTTTAATAATAAGCTCTGAATATCCTGCCTGGTTCATAAGCTTACGTACTTCAAGTTTGGCAAAACATAGAAAGCTAATAATTTGGACCCCAACATAACCAAGCCGCCACTGTAAGCCCAAAAATCAAGATTGTCCAAAGGTTGATCCATCAAATTTTGGCCGTTCTCAATCCAAGCTTAACAGCTAATTCGATCAAATTCGAATGTCTGTCGTATCAGACAGATCTGGTGAAAGCAATGATTTGAATTCTCGACTTACTCCACGATGTCGGAGACAGCCCTTCTCTTCTTCCTTTTCCCCGAGGCGGCGTCCATGTTAGAAATGTTAAAATGCTATGAAGGCACTCTTTCCTAACGACCTACATTCGGCTGAGTACAAATCAAATCGAGCTCCGGCTCAGAGTAAGGCAAAATGTAAGGCAGAATGAAGATTCCAGTCTCCCGCAGGATTTGAATGCCCTGGGGACTGGCACCAACTGGAAAAAAAAAAACATGATATGTTGCATGCCTGGTCGTGCTTCAGGAAACTTTGAACGGCTGTAAAAAACTATAACTGGTCTTTTCGTCTAATATTTCGTTCAAAAGGATTCGGGGGCAAATCAGAGAAGTCTGTACAGGCACTGATCACTACTAAACACCCGCCCGAGGGGAGAGGGGGGGATACTTGATCGATGATAAATGACCAAGTCGACCGGATGGGGAGGGGCGACAAAATGTGAATGAAATTGATGGTTTGGGCTTTTTTAGGGGTCACCACAATTTCTTGCAGACACTTTCGCTTTCATCTTTTATAAGCGAACTTTACACTAACGATTCTCAAACAAAGAACACTTGATATTTTTGAACATTTTTTTTTATTATTATTTACGTGACAATACTAAGAATGAAGGCTCTTAATGTAATGGACAAAGTAAAAACACTAAATGAAGAGCCCTCACTCTAGAGTCAATAAGAAAAATGTACAAAAAAGTCGAAGTGTTCCTGGATTAAGGGTCCTCACTGCCCAGCCAAATATTTGCTAAGAACCATCTGAGAGTACGTTCTACTTATTTCAGGTGCGTGCTGATAAATCTTCCATCTATTCTCACGGTGTCTGTACAATTTCATATGGGTTACTGACCAAGCGTGAGGTTAAGATGGCTGGATATTGGCCAAGTTCCTTTTTTTCTTGCGTGTTTAAGAACAGGCTAATATCCAGCCATCTAGACCGAACAAGCTTGGTCAATAATGGCAGTTATTACAAGAAAAAAAAGAACTCTGTTTTCTTGGGGGACACAGCGGGTAATCTCGAGCGCACAAGATGGCGCATTCTTGCCTGCCCGGGTAGCCAATCACAGAGCAGGATTCGGTTCGTCTTACCCGCTCACGCAGCTGTTGTAGCCATATAATAAATATGGGTTATTGACCAAGCGTGAGGTGAAAATGGCTGGATATTAGCCAAGTTCATTTTTTTTTTTGTGCGTGTGAACCAGGCCAATATCCAGCTATCGTGACCTAACAAGGTTGGTCAATAAGGGATTCATTACATGGGAAAAATACGCTGCTTCCTTGGGGGACACAACGGGTTATCCCAAGCGGGAAAACTCGGGTAGCCAATCACAGTGCAGGATTCGGTTCATCTTGCCCGCTCACGCAGCTGGCCATATTGCGTAACTGACCTGAACGTGTGATTTAACTGAACTGAAGGAAGAAATGAAAACTTTTAGACCACGGGTATTAACTTTTAAATAGTTTGGCATATGTCTAAAACGCTTGTTTATGAGGCTTCCCCATCTCTGTTCCATCCATGTAATAGCGGAGCTCCGGCGGCCCGAGGGGCTGCCAAGCGGAGCCCCATACTTATATAGGAAAGAAAAGGAAACCCATGAGTTGATTTTCTCATGGTTGTCATGGCTAGCGGTATTGCTCGTGGGCGCGTACGCACGACG